GGGGGAAGATAGGTGTGTACTATTTTTATAACTCCCAGTAAGTCTATGTAATCCTTCCAAAATAAAAAGTGAAAAAAAAAAAAAAGTAGAATGAAGACAGTCTCTATGTATGTCCTGCTACAGAAAGATGTTCTAGGTATTTTAAGTCACATTTTAAACAGTAATAATAAATAAAAAAAGGAGGCAGAACAGTGGACATAATATGCTACTGATTTTGTAAGACAGGATAAAATGGAAACCGATCTATTCTTTGGTCCTGCTTTTGTTTGCCAAACAGAAACTCTGGAAGGATAATCAGGAAGCCAACAGAAGTGGTCGGGGGGCACATCAGGTGACTGGGAGTAGGGGTGTGAACGAGACCAGTCACCACATAGCTCTATCCCGATTTTATTGTAAACCCTGCATATTTCCTATCCATTCAATTAAAACAAACAGTAAATCCAGACCCCAAATAACTGTTCAAATTTTATGATCCAGCCTCTTACCCCCTTCCTCCAGGCTCCCTCTGGGGAGTGCCCTCCCTGACCCCCAGCAGCCAGTCCCCTCCTGTCCAGATCTGAGCACTGGATGGATGTCTAGAAGCCTCCCCTGGGCACCTGCTAGAAGAAGCTCCATTTCCTGACCTCCTGGGGCAGTTAACTAGTACTTCTCACACACAGTGTGCTGACCCTGTGCTCTCCTGATGACGTCACAGTTCATCTTTCCAATCAGACTGGGAGCTCCAGAGCTAGGGGGCCAGGCCTATTCCCTCCCATCTCCTCCAAAAGTTATTTCCCAGACTTCAGACATCCTCCATAACTGCCTTTGAAATTTCAACAGTATCTATGTAAAACCTGGATTTCTTTTTCACTTAATATGTTTTTCTGTAAAAAAAAAATCAACTTTATTAACTGGGGTGTTTCCTAGGAACCAGGCTTTACATGAATTAATTCCCACAAAATCTACAATTCGTTATTATCCTGATTTTACGAAGGAGGCAAAGGAAGCAGAGAGGTCAAATGATTTGCTCAAGGCCACACAGCCTAATGGGTTGTGAAGCCAGGATGTGAAGATAGCTGGTGAGGATGGGAACAATGGGAAGTCTCACACTTTTCTGGTGGGAAGTCAACATGGTATGGGCACTTCTGGAGAAGCCTGGCAGTTTCTCAGACGGTGAAGTGTACGTTTACCATACGACCCAGCAACCCCACTCCAAGGGCCTTCCCCAGAGAACTCTTATATGCACACAAACCCCTGTAAGCCAATGTTTTTAGCTGTGGATCTGTTTATCGTCACCAAAAATGATCCAAACGAACTCCCACGGGGAATGGACGAACCAACTATGGTACAGCATACAATGCTTTCACTTGCCGAACAGTATCCCACTGTAGGATGAACTAAACTAAGCTAATTTACACTCCCGCGGCAATAAAAAGGAGTGGTCGGGTGCACTGCAGGGAGACAGAGGGACGGATGGCTGCAGGTGTACCTAGGGAAGGGAAGCCCGAGAATCACTTTTTGGAGTGAGGAAACTGCAGTATCTTGATGGCGGTGGTGTTCACATAATTCTACACATTTCAAAATGGACAGAACCATAGAGCAAAAAGAGTAAGTTCACTTAATTTTTTTATATTTAATTTTTTTTATTTAAAAAAAAACAAAAAACTGAGTGCCTGGGTGGCTTAGTTGGTTAAGCATCTGCCTTCGGCTCAGGTCATGATCTCAGGGTCCTGGGATCGACTCTTGCATTGGGCTCCCTGCTCAGTGGGGAGCCTGCTTCTCCCTTTACCTCTGCCCCTCCACCTCCCCCTTCTTGTACGCGCTCTCTCAAATAAATAAATAAAATCTTTTAAAACAAAACCAAAAACCCTTGGATTGTTGATTGACCTGATTCGCCTCTTTTCTCAAACCCCAAATTCACTGACTCATGAATCCCAAGGGCGCTGCCTCCCAAAGACCACCCATTGCCAACCACCCCTCAGCGTCCCACTGCTCTGGTGTCCCACTGCTCAGAGCGCAGGTTGGGCCGCCCCCACGCCCAGCCGGCTGTGCTAACCCTCACTCTCTTCCTTCCCTGCAGTTAGCACAACTAGACCTGCCAAATTAGAATTTGTGTCACTCTCCAGAGTAGTGCTTCTAACACAATTTTCTGTGTGATTGAAACCTTCTGTACCTGTGGAGTCCAAGGAGGTCACTCTATCCATATGTGGCTTCAAGCATTTGAAATGCAGCTAGTGCCACAGGGGAGCCAAGATTTTCATCTGTTTCTAATGAGCTTAAATTTAAGTCCCTATGTGGGGCTAGCTGCAACTCTGTTTGCAGTGCGTGGCTAAAATGAGGAGTTCCATAAATATAAGGATTTTGTCCATTTTGTTCAGTGATATGGCCACAGGACTTAAAACGGTGCCTGGTATTGAATGCATTGGCCCATATGTATGCCTTTATTTAAAAATCAGGGTAACAGAGGCGCTTGGGGAGCAAAGTTGGTTGAGCATCCAACTCTTGGTTTTGGCTCAGGTCATGATCTCAGGGTCGTGAGATTGAGCCCCGTGTCGGGCTCCCCACTGGGTGTGGAGCCTGCTTGGGACTCTCTCTCCCCTTCTCCCTCTGCTCCTCCCCTGTACCAAATAAATAAATAAATCTTTAAAAAAAAAACCAGGATAACAAAAACATCATTGCTAACGAGTTTAAGGTTCATAAGCAGGATCCTTCAAAACCTGCAGGCCATGTGACAAGGAGCATGATATCAAAGGGTCTTTTTTTTTTTTTAAGATTTATTCATTTGAGAGAGAGAGAAAGAGCACAAGCAGGGGGAAAGGCAGTGGGATGGGGAGGAGAAGACTCCCCAACAAGCTGAGAGCTCGACATGGGGCTCAATCCCAGGACCCGGAGATCAAGACCTGAGCCAAAGGCAGATGTCCAAACATCTGAGCCACCCAGGTGCCCCCAAAGGGTCTTTAAACAGCTTGAGGATCAAAAGGCTTATCTTTTTCTTCTTGTTAATACAAGCTCACATTTCCTAACCTGTCTGTTCCCCTGACCAATGTCCACCCATGGGAAGTATTTTACACCATTCCCCTAAGTATGCTACTCTCATCCCCCGAAGCTCAGAACAGCTCAGCACCCCCTAAAAGGCAATGAGGAAGCTGGGACAGGGGAAGGAAAGCGACAGGGCCACACAGTCAGCCAATGGTGGATACCAGAAACACAGAGTGCCAGTTCTAAGAACCACCTGGGATTACATGTAAAATATTCTAGCCCACTCCCAGGCCTAGTGAATCAGAAGTGCTGGGAATAGAAGGGGGATCTGCAGGCTTAACAAGCTCCTAGGGATGCTAAGATAAGATGAAATTAGGAGGTTTTACTTAGACTCCACTGGCCTTTCCGTCATGCCTCCCTGAGGCTAACAGGTCAGAGATTCAAACAGGATGAAATGGGTTTGGAGGACTAGAAGCGATGTGTTCTTAATCCCATGTCCCGCTGTCTCTCCTCAATGATTCCCTTGGTTTTCAGATGCCAGCCTCCCTTTCTAATTGCTCATCTCTTCTCCCAGCCAAGTGCACCCCGCCCCACCCCTTGCAAGCCTCCCCCTCACCTGAGGACATCAATATCCTTCTCTCTCCGCTCCCCAAGCTCTTATAGCCCTCCCTCCACCCTTTAGGAGAACAATAAACCCAGACCTTTGAGTTACTCTCTCCAAGGCCCCCTCCCTTCCCAGGCCTTGGCCTTCCAACTGTGTGGTCCAACCCTACCTCTGCTCCTCCCCCCTCATCAGGCATCCAAAAGCCAAATATCTCCCTATACAAAAAGGTCCCCACATTTCCAAAGGCATAAACCTGGACCAGACCTCTGACCTCTCTCTGCCCCACCTCTGTCCAGCAGGATCCTACCCCGACACGGTCTAAACTCCACCCCACTTCTCCCCATCCAGGAACCTTTTCCCGGCCACGCCTCCTAGCGTCTGGCCCCGCCCACTAACAAACTTGGCCACCACCCCTTTTCAGGAGGGCCAGTCTCCCCGACCACCCAATTTCCAATGGCCCCGCCCACGAAATCTTCCCCCCCCCCACGGAGCCCCGCCCCCCGAGCTACGGTGATCACGCCCCCGCAGTAGCCCCGCCCCCAGGCCTCTTTTCAAACCCCTTCGAGTCCTACAGACTCCGGCCCTCTCTACCCTCTACCTGGCCCTCTCCCTCCGGCGGACACCCGCCCCCCCAATGCCCTGCAGCGAGCTGCTGCCGGCGCTCTCCCTTCCCCGCCGCGCTCTCGGCCGCCTGAGCGTACCCCACGCCCGCTCCTCGGCAGCCGACCAACCCGGCGGAGCCGCAGGCCCGGAGCGTACGACAGGCGCGCACCCCCCTCAAGTTTCCCAGCCCCGCGTCGGCGGCCTCACCTGCCTCTCGCCGGCCCCGCGCGCCGCTGTCCTGCGCGTCACACCCGGAACCACTCGTCGCCCGACTGCAGCCCCCAATTCGCGCCACGGAATTCGCGCGCAGACTTTGGCGGGCGGGGGCGGTATAGGGGGCGGGGCCCGGGAGTCGTCAGCGCCGCCGCTGCCTCTCGGAGGACGCTGGGAGTTGTAGTCTCCCCGGCCGGAGGCTACTAGGAAAGGGGTGAAGCAGGGTGAGCCCTCCCGCAGAGCACGATGGGAAACGGTCCGTGCCTTCCCTCCCTCTGGGTGGGCGGGTGTTGCTGCAAGGCCGAGAAGTGACTGGCTGGGAAAGAGGGAGATTCAATGGAAGCCGCTGCGCGAGGCACGGCGGGAAGAGAGGCGGGAGGCCGCGCGGGGCATCCCGGGAGCAAGGGCCGGGCCTGGCCTCGGCGCGGAGCATTGTGGGAGGTGTGCGCCGCTCCGGGGCGGGTAGGTGAGTGGGGAGGGGCGGGAAGGGTGCACATCTGGGGGAGGGGAGAGGCACAGCTGGGTGGGACAGCGGAGATGGGAGGGCCCGCGGCCAGAGGGGCTGGGAGGACTTGGGGAGGGGGAAGCGGGTTGGGAGGGGCTGCGCGAGGTGGGGGGGAGGCGCAGCTGGACGTGGGGGAGCATCTGGGGTGATGAAGCCCATTTGAGGACGAGGGGCCATCTCTAGGACCAGAATGCACATCTGGAGAGTACAATAGCTGCAAATGAGAGGAGGGAGCTACAGCTGGACTGGGGGGCGCGTCTGAGCAGGAGGTGGGCACAAATATTGGTGACACTTCTGAAAATTGGGCACAAGTGAATGGGGCACACACCTGTGGGCGAAAAGTACATACTGGATGTGAGGAGGACATCTGGATATGGGAGCATCTCGGAGGCAGGGGCTACAGCTGGATGTGACGACCCATGGCGTCACATCTGGGACAACAGCCATTTATCGGAGACACATGCAGGGAGGAGGAAGCCACAGGTGCGTGAAGAATGACTGTTAATGAGGGTCCCTGAATGGATGTGGGAGCACATCTGGACATGGGATATCTTTAGAGGAGGGCAAAGAGAGATGTGAGTTACAGCCAAGTGTAGACACATCGAAGGGGGGGGTTTCCTATGAATGGGGGCACAAGAGGTTATGGCCAAGTATAGGAGATCTATCCGGAGGGGGAAGGAGGTCTTGGCTGGAAGTTGAGAACACATTCGAGGTGTCCACCACTGCACTTAAGGGTTATGTTTTGGGAGAGGGACCCCAAATGTACCTAGGGGCACATCTACAGAGGAGGGTGCCAGAGCTGAAATTGGGGATCAGGATGACAGGCTCCAGCTGTCCCGGGAATAATGCGGAAATGGGAGAAAGCCGAAGATGGAGTATAGATTCATATCTAGATATTAATGGGGGTGCATCCCACCCTGGGCCCTGCCTGGAAAGAGGCACCAGCACCAAAGAGGCAGGCAGAAAATGGAGAAAGTGGGATACCCCTGGTGGGGGTGGGTCTGATATCCACATGCCCCCTCTCTTCCACTCAGGTGCCCCAGGATGGAGTCCCCACCCAGCACGGCTGGGCAGGAGGAACAGGAGCTGCGGGAGCGTGCCTTCTTCTCGTGGGCCGAGTTCAGCCGCTTCTTCGACGCGTGGTGCCAGCAGCGGCTGGCGCTCTTCTTCGTCAAGAGCTCCATGCACCTGGCGCGCTGCCGCTGGGCCAGCGCGCCCCCGCTCTACACGCTCATCGACGTGCTCAAGTACAGCTACGTGCGGCTCGTGTGCAAGGACGTGCGCGCGCCCAGCCGGCCCACCGTGGGGTGCGTGAGAGGAGCCGTGCCCTGCTGGGTGCTGGGGGTGGGGAGGGGAAGTGAGGGGGAGGAGTAGGCAGAGAGCCCCCCACCCAGAGATGGGGAGGGAGAGATGCCAACTAAAACAGCTAAGTATACCTTGTAGAGAAGCTAAGACAGGCCCAAAGAAAGGCAGACAGCCCGTGAGCTGGAAGGACAGAGGCACGCAGAGTGAGTGACAGGGTGGGCTCCGATTGCAGACTTACAGAGAGGCAGAGTGAGATGGACACAGTGAAGAAAGCCAAAAGAGGGGGGGGGCAGAAAATTCCAGAAACACAGAGACATGGAGCCAGACACTCTAGCCAGAACCAGAAAAATGGGTGAGAGCCAGGTTTGGGACATATACAAAGAGGTCAGAAACAGAGCTGCAGAGTAACCCATGGGACAAAGAGAGAAAGACCCATCTGGTGATTCAGTGAATACAGGGCCGGGTTCTCTGTGGGAGCCAGAGGTAATTCACTGGGGTGAGAAGGGGTTGAGCAGGATAGACAGATCCCCTGCCCTCTTAGCATGTTCAGACTGGACAGGAAGGCTGGTGTTATAGGAACAAGCTGACAGATAACTTCCCTACAACTGTAATGCTACAGGGGCAAATGAAACACCTGCGAGACAGCTAGGAGAGACATCCAGCTGGCCAAGGATGTTTTAATCGTTTCCCCCCAGTTTTAAACCAGAGCACTCCCCATAAAAGGTTCAGTTTCCGGCTTTTCTTGAAACACAGGAAAAGGCTGAACCCACCTTCTTGTGTGGCGGACGGCCACTGCAGTTAGAGGGGCAGGGGCTCTCGGGTTTGCCCCAGACCCCACTGCTCCCTATTACCTCACACTTAGCCCTGCCACTTTCATGTTTCACCTTCCTGGTCCCTGTAGGTGCATGTGAGTTTCAGACCCTTGGTTGGAGAGGTATGGCTAAGAACAGAGCGCTTAAAAGCAGGCTCTGCCTTCAGGCTGCTTGAGACCGGCCCCATTGCTCCCGGGGTGGGTGTCTTTGGGCAACAGACATCATATGTCTAAGGCGGGTTTCTCCTCTCTGGAACATCAGGCAGCTGGGTAGATGACAGCTGTTCTAGAAGTCAAGAGCACAGCCAGCCAGCAGCCTAGCCTCAAACTCCAGGCCTGCTATGATTAGCCGGTGACATCACCTGAGCAAGTGACATCACCTCTCTGGGTCTCAGTTTTCTGCCTTGGAAAACGGAGGAAGTGCCGGTACTGATCCATCCCAGGTTTTGTGAGGATTAAATGAGCTGATAGATGCAGATCGCTCAGAAAAGTAAGCACCTTTGAGCAGTGATTCTCACCATAGTTACTGAAACACTTACTGAGAGGTTACTCTTCTTGGTACTTGGTACTCTTCTTGGTACTTGACTCCTTGCTCATCTAGAAACAGAGATGCAGAGGTCAGGAAGCAGAATGGGATCAAACACACACATCATCATCACAGAGAAATCTAGAACATTAGAGCTTGTGTGCAACTCAGGCCCCATCTGGAATCTCTCCTTGTTAACAGAACCCAATTCAAAGTAACAAACACTTATTGAGTGCCTACTGTGTGCATGCTCTTTGCTGGGCATTTGGAATCCAGAGCTTGGCCTCTGCCTTTGAGCAGCTGAGGACCTAATGGAGGGGGAAAAAGACGAAAAGAAAAAAGAAAAAAAAATTGGAAATGAGGACTCACAATTGTGGGAGAAAAGAAGTTAGAGAGTGGGAGGAAGGAGGACAAAAGAGGGGTGGTCAGCCCAGCTCCACCTGGGAGCTTACTGGGTATTTCTGGAAGGCTTCCTGGAAGAGGTGACTAGGAAATGAAAACTTCAGGGATTCTCTTTGTTTATACATTTATGTATGTATGTGTTTGATCTAGACATATGGCGCTTGCTATGTGCCAGCACTGTCCCCAGTGCTCTGCCAGGGAGGAAGCCAGGAGACAGGAAGGGCTGAGAGCAACAGGAGCTCTGCCCATAGGATGGTCCCTCCCAGGGCCCTGTCAGGGACAGACTGAGGGAGAGAGACAGGAGGCCAGTGAGGAGGCAGGGGCTGCGGGGCCTGAGAACCACACATCAGAGCTTTCTCCCTGGCCACTCCAGCCCCGTTCCCCAAACGTTGCCTGGCAACCTTCCCCAAATTGCCACCCTGTCTCTTCCCCCTCCAGCTCCAGCCCTCGGCTCTGCACACCACCACCACCCCCTCCCCAGCCTCTCTCAGCGCTTCCCTCTCTAGAATACACACACCAGTCTTTGAGAACACAGAAAGCTCGACGACCTGAAAGATCAAGAAGAAACGGGTGCATGGAGGGCAAACGAGCTCAAAGCGATGGTACTTTTAGAAGAAAAAAAAAATGGGGGAAATAGCAGGTTCCTTTTTATTAAGTACTTACACCGGGCCTTTGTCTAACTACTTTGCATAATGTAATCCTCTTCTGGACTCCTCTCAGTGAGGAGGTATTATTCTTGTTGGCCCCGATTTCCAGATTTCCGTATGAGAAAACAAGCACAGAGAGGTTAAAGTGATTTCCCAAGATAGCCCAGCTGCCGAGAGAGGGAAACCAGGATCAGGACCCACACGGTTTGACCACAAAGCCTGTGCTTTTAGTCCCCTCTCTCTTCCTTCCCCTACCCCTCACCTTTATTTCAATCATGGATCATGAGAGTCGAATGTGATCCTAGGTGCCATGCTGTTTGTCCACCTGAAGGCTTTGTTTCGAGCGCCTGCTGGGTGCAGGGTGAATGTGTTTTAGATGGTGGGGGTTTCAGGGGAAGGGCACCCCATTCAGTGAAGACCATGCATTACAAATGGGCCTCCATCAGATCCTCATCCCAATGTGCAGTGAAATCTGCCCAAGCTTGGGGATGGTCAGAGAGGGCTTCCTGGAGGAGGTGACACTGGTTCAGAGTTGTGAAGGAGGAATAGGAGCTAACTAGGGAAAAAGAAGGGAGAAGGATGTTTTATGAAGAAGGAGAGAACTGAGTAGGGTTGCTGGCAGTGGGAATGGGGAAATGTGCATGGTCTGATGAGTTTATAAGGCACGACAGGCAGAACTGGGTGCTGGGTGGCTTGACGTAATGAGCAGAGTGCCTGGGTGTCTGGGGTTCATACAGTGGGATTCTGTCATTCCTCATCATCTGTTTACTGAGCACTTCCCAGGGGGCCAGGGGCTGCTCTCAGTGCTGGGACTATTGCAGTAGGCAAAACAGACAAAAATTCCTGCCTACATGGAGTTCACATGTAGAGGTGGGTGGCATTCTTCACCCCGGCTGCATGTAGAGAAATTGCAAAAATAGCGTGCTGAGGCCACAGTAGACAATTATGTGAGGTACAGGGACCCCTGTGGGGACGTGCTATTCTCTGGCAAGATGCACAGCTCCCTGGTGTTGTGACCTTCACTGAGTGGGGGCTTGTTCTAAGGGCTGAACTAAAAGAGGCCAGAGAGAGTTTCACAGGAGCCCGAGAGTTAAGCAGGGGAGGTGGGTCAGGTAGAGTCCCATGAACGGGACACAATTTGGGTAGCTCAAAAAGGGCTGTACGTCGGGAATGTCTTTTGGTTCCACCGATACCACGGGGGTGGCTCCACATTTTTATTTTATTTATAACGATTTGGAGGCTTAGACTTTTTTCTAATTTTGCATTATTTTTGTTGCTTAAAAGAAGGCAAGAAGTCCCAAGCTTTTTATGTAGATTTAAAAAGTCCAGCAGGCTCCCGGTTTTACTTTCCCTCATGCATGGAGCAGAAAAGGGGCATGTCAGGTAGCCCCTTCTGGTTTAACAAAGACAGTTCTTCGATATTTATACTGGAGAGACCTGGGGTGGGTTCTGGGGGGGCTCAGCCTTCTCGGGGGCCACTTGGAAACAATTTTGGAGCATTTTAGGGCGTGCTGCTGGCATTCACTGCCTATAAGTCAGCTTCTTCATTTCTTGCCAAGCCCTGGACAGTCTATGTTACAAGGGCTGACAAGCTGTGAGGACCTTGGGCCAAATCCATCCTGCAGCTGTGTTTTGTAAATAAAGTTTTATTGGAACACAGCCAGGCGCATGTACTGACAGGCAATCTATGGTTGTTTTCACAGTATAGCAACAGCGTCTACTTACTGTCTGCCCTTTCACAGAAAAAGTGTGCCAATCCCTGCTCTGTAAACACAAACCTCCTACCTAAAATGCCAGTATCATCCCTCATGGAGAAACACAAAACCTCCTTTCAGAAAGCAGATGTCAATAATATGTGTTATTTATCAGGGAAATGCACCCTGATTTTCCTCCCTGTTCTCTTTCATTTTTTAGAAGGCTGTTTGTAGCTCCCTGATCGATTTTAGCTAATGGGTGGGCCGTGCCCAGCAGCTTGAGGGCCTCTGTCCTAGACAGACTCTTGCTCACACACAGATGGATAAGAGAGTTGGGGGTCATCGAAGCATTGTTTTTAAGAAGGGAGAACAGGAGACAGCATGCAGTTAGCAGAGGGGCACCTGGCTGGCTCCATCCGTGGAGCATGCGACTCAGTCTCGGGGCTGTGAGTTCAAGCCCCATCTTGGCTATAGAGATGACTTAAATAAAATCTTTAAAAAAACAAAACAACAACAACAACAACAACAAAAACCCCCAACATACAGTTGGCGGAGTTGCCAGTGGCCTATCAGGCAGCAAAAGGAATGAAAGAATGTTGAAAAGCTAATGAGTGAGAAAGCACTTTCCAAAAGTATGTTGAGAGTGGGGTCGGTTTCCTATTGCTTTTGTAACAAAATATTACAGACCTGGTGGCTTACGGCAATGCAAACGTGTGATCTTAGAGCTCCGAGGGTCACCAGTCCAGCAGGGGTCTCACAGGGCTAAAATCGAGCTGTCTGCAAGGCTGGTTCATTCTGGAGACTCTAGGGGAGAATCTTCTAGAAGCGCCCGCATTCCTTGGCTTCCTGATGTTCTAGCAGAGAAACATCTCTCTTTCTTTCTCTCTCTCTCTTTGACTTGCCTCTCTGGCTTCTTGCTTCTGTCTTCTCTTTATAAGGACCCTTGGGGGTACACCGAGCCCACCTGGATAATCCAAGATCATCTCCCCATCTCTGGACCCTTAATTTATTATTATTTTTTTTTCTATTTTTAAAAGATTTTATTTATTTATTTGACAGAGATCACAAGTAGGCAGAGAAGCAGGAAGAGAGAGAGGGGAAGCAGGCTCCATGCTGAGCAGAGAGCCCAATGTGGGGCTCAATCCCAGGACCCCAAGATCATGACCCAAGCCGAAGGCAGAGGCTTAACTCACTAGCCACCCAGGTGCCCCAGGACCCTTAATTTAATCCTACCTGCAAAGTCCCTTTTGCAGTTCACGGTAACATTCACACGGCTCCAGCAGCTAGGGCGTGAACATCTTTGAGGGGCTGTTTTGCCTACAGTACACCAGAAGAAGAAAGGTTTCCTAAGTAAACTTTGTAAAAGCATTAACACAGGTGAAGGAAAGCACATCCATCATATGTATGCAACTTGGTGCATTTCCCCCAAATAAAATGCACATATAACCAATGCCCAGAGCAAGGGGATATACGTGGCCAGTGCCAGGAAGCACCCCCCATTAGCACTTAACCACTCAAGGGTGGCCACTCTCTGGTCTCCCAACAGCAGAGGCTACCTTTGCCTCCTGTGGAACTTTGGATAAGCCTGACATGTGGTGGCTTATCACCTTTCGTGTCCGGCATCTTTCACACAGTGGATCCGCGAGATCCGACCACGTTGCTGGGGACAGCAATGGCCTGTCCATTCTTACTGTGGGTTAGGGTTGTGTTTGAGGATGTATCCCTACTTATTTTCCCATCCTCCTGGTGGATATCGGTTTGTTTCCAATACTTGGCAGATACGAGCAGGGCTGCTGTGAACATTCTAGTACAATCTTTGGGCGCCCATCTTTCAGGCATTGGTCTTGAGTGGAAGCACTGGTTCAGGGGGAGGCACGTGATCTGAGTTAGCAGAGTCTGGCCCACGGTGACAAGCAACTTATGTTGAAACTCCCATCGCCAAGAAGCTAAGTGCTAGGCTCTCTCCACATCCTGGTCTGTGCTCCCTGTTTATTTGGTTATTCCGGTGGTGGGTGGTGGCCTTTCCTGGGGCTTTTCTTTTCTTTACTTTTTTTTTCCTGGGGCTTTTCATTGGGGTTCGCTCGATGACTGATGAGTTTGAGCTCCTTTCCACGTATACGAACTTTTAAAACATGGGAACCCATCTTCCACTGTTTATGGGTCCCTAAAAACATACCCAGGAAAGGCTAGATAGCCCATTTGGGAAGTGGCTACTTTGGGGGACCGAGGAAGACTTTTGGGGGACAGGGTTCTCGGAGACCCTCAACTGGCCATGCCGTTCTTGCTAAATGAGAAGTGGATACAGGAGTCTCTGAAGGGTTTTGTTTCTTACAGTTTTTCGAGGTAAATAAAATATTCCTTGGCTTTCGATAGAGATGAGGAGGTAGATGCAGAGCCACGGCCAACGTGGATGCTGACAGTTAAGTGCTTTCCATACATCAACTCTTTGAATCCTCACAACTCCAGGACAAAGGTCTGGTGATGATGAGCTCCCTCACAACATAGGAGGAAACTGAGGCACAGAGGCTTGAAGGGACTTGCCCGAGGTCACGCAGCTGGCAGAATCCGAAGGCCCTCTCTCTTCTCGATGCTTGCCACAGTCCTTAATTTTAGAAAATAAATAATTAAAGAGGAGAGGGAGAGGAGGAGGAGGAGGGCAGACGGTGATGTGATGGCGGCGGTGGTCGTTCCTCCCGCAGGCCTCCCCAGCCCGGCTGCCCGGCCTTCATCATCGTCAAGCTGAGCCCACTGCGGGACCGCCTCGTGGTGACGGAGTGCCAGCTGACCCACTCGCACCCGGCCTGCCCGCTCGAGTTCGCCTACTACTTCCGCCCGGGCCACCTGCTGGCCAACGCCTGCCTGCCGGTGCGCACCACGAACAAGATCTCCAAGCAGTTCGTGGCGCCGGCCGACGTGCGCCGCCTGCTGTCCTACTGCAAGGGCCGCGACCATGGCGTCCTGGACGCCCTGCACGTGCTCGAGGGGCTCTTCCGCACCGACCCCGAGGCCAAGGTGGGGTCTCGGGAGAGGCAGGCGGGGGCGGGGGAAGAGCCACGTCGGAGCCCCGCGGGTCGGTCGGTCATTCATTCATTCATTCATTCATCCGCCCACTCATCCTCCACTCCTTTCATCCATCCACCCCCGTGGCCCCCACATCCCTGTCATCATTCGCTAAGTGCTCACTGCGGCCTTGGGGAGACAGCAGCCTGCCATGCGCCCCGCCCACAGGGACCACCAGAGCTTCTGCCCCAGGGGACGAGGGAAATGCTCTGGGACATCCCCCATGGTAGGGTAGCCCCTGGCCACATGGGGCTGTTGAACGCTTGCAAGGTGGCCAGTAGGACCGATGAGCTGAATTTTAAATTTTATTTCACTTTAATTTACTGAAATTTAAAAGAGCCTCTTCTGGCTATTGGCTGCCTTGCAGAGGAAGCTACTAGAATCACCTTGCCGTGGTAGTGGGGGAACCAACAAGAGACAGACACACCCAACCGTGATAAAACGTCAGGAAGGTTGGGCGAGGAAGAGGAGGTGACAGAAAGTGCCACTTAAAAAATAAATAAATAAATAAACGAGCCACACACATAGAAGGTACACAGATGAGAAGTGCATAGTTAGAGGAATGACCCCAACGTGAAAATAGCCTTTCCCCACCACCCCGATCAAGACTCAGAAGGGAGGGTCCCCTTTGTCACCTAAGGTGATGGAGGGAGGAGTAGTGTCAAGGAGAATAGGGTGAGGACATGGAGAGGGACAGTTAGTTGTAAGGGTGCTATTTTAATTTATTTTCAAAAAAGATTTTACTTATTTATTTGAGAGAGAGTGAGAGAGAGCACAAGCGGTGGGGAGAGGCTGGGAGAGAGACAGAGGGGAAATAAGAAGCAAACTCTCTGCTGGGCGGGGAACCCAATGCGGAGCTCGATCCGGGATCATCACCTGAGCCGGAGGCAGACGCTCAACCAACTGAGCCACCCAGGCGCCCCTGTAAAGGTGCCATTGTGATTTGAGTGGTCAGGGAAGGTATCTCTAAGGAAATGCTCATGAAGCAGAGGAGGCAGAATGGAGGCAGGGGACCCCCATTCTATCTTCAGAGGGACTGGAGTTCCAGGCAGAAGGAACAGCCAGTGCAAAGGTCCGGAGGCTGGAGCATTCCCGCTGTTCCTCTATGAGGAATCTTTCTGATGCTTTAATCTAACTCCAAAGCGGGGGGGTGGACATGTAGGAAGGGAGGGAGGGAGGGAGAAAGGGGGGAAGCTAGGTTCTCCCCCCTGGCTGTGCTTTTCTCTCATGTAAGGAAGAGGTCCCCACCCAGGGTAGTGATGCAGTGACCCCCTCTCCCGAATCGGGTCCAGAACCCTCCCCCCACCACCATCTCATGCTCAGGACCCAGCCGTGATTCAAACCACCAACCCAAACCCAGCCCTCTGTCCACACATCATATCGCTGATAATTTTAGTTCATGTTTAGCAAGCACTGACTGTGTGCCAACACTATCTCAAGTGCTTTGCATGCTATAATTCATTTAAATCATACCAGAGCATGTTGAGGAAGGAGTCCCCCATTCGATAGACAAGGAAACTGAAGCACAGAGAGGACAAGGAATTGGCCCAGGGCCACACAGCTACTTAATGATGGAGCTGAACTTCAGACCCACACAGTCTGGATCCAGGGCCATGCTTTTATCTGCTTGTCTATTCCCCAGTTTAGAAATGAGTTTCCGGCCCTTTCCCAGCAGGTCTAGCCTCCGGAGAGCTGAGGGTCCCACCGAAGTCAGTTTACTGCTCTGTAAATTGGGGAGTACATGTGTGTACTCCCCATGCTGCTGGTCTTTGCTGAAGACCAGTTATCTGTTATCAGTTATCTCCTGTCCACCGTCAAATAAATAAGCCTTGGCTGTCCCTGCAGACACCTGTGTAGGGCTGCCCCTCCCTCCCATGAGAAGCCGCTCACCGACAAGCAAAAGCCTTTAAGGTCAAGGCATTGTCTTCTAAACTTCCAATTAGGAGGCTGTCATAGAGTCCCGGCTAAACCAAGGTTGGCTCCTGGGTCCATCTTTCAGTCCACCTTAATCCTTTTAAAGGAAATGAGGAAGGAGTTCTGGAACACCAAGAGACAGAAAAGCCAGAGGATTATTCCTTTTTTTTTTTAACACTTAAATATTGACTTTTTGAATATGTAACACATTCACATGCTTCTAAATTCAAAAGGTACAAAGGTTCAAAAAGTGAAAAGCCCCCTTGTCACCTCCTGTCCCCCAGGTCCCCTCCTCAGCGGCCACCAGAGCGTCCGTTCTTCATGTATCTTCTGTCTCTATTCTGTGGCTCAGGGCTATCCAGGGGAACTTGCTATGATGATAGAAATGATCTGTGTCCCCTGGACTCATGTGGCTATCAGGCACTCGGAATGTGGCCAGTATGGTGGAGGAACTGGATTTTTAATTTAATTTAATTAATTGCATTTTAAATAGCCCCGTATGGCTAGTGGCTTCACACTCAACAGCCCCACCATATCGGTATACAGAGAAATTTGTGTCTATCATTTTCATTTTATTTCCACTTGCTCTCCACCCCTGCAAGGTAGCATATTAGACTTTTTTTTTTTTTATCTTGCTTTAGGTGTTGGGGCTGGCCACATGTCAGCCGCTTTCATTTCTTCCTCTGGGGCTGGTCATCTTAAACTGTCTTGCCTGGCGGGGTACGGGCCAGGCTGCCAGCTTCCAGGAGCCACGTGGGGGAAGAGGGCTGGGGAGCTGGCTCTGGGGCAGCAAGATGTAAGGACACCCTGTCCCTCATCACATGGACTTGTTGTCCCCAAGGCCAGTGGCCCCTTCTTTCTTTCTTTTCCTTTTCTTTTTTTAAGAAATATTTATCTTTTTCATAATCTTTTTAAAAACATTTTTATTATTATTTTTTAAGATTTTATTTATTTATTTGACAGACAGAGATCACAAGTAGGCAGAGAGGCAGGCAGAGAGAGAGAGAGGGAAGCAGGCTCCCCACTGAGCAGAGAGCCTGATGTGGGGCTTGATCCCAGGACCCTGAGATCATGACCTGAGCTGAAGGCAGAGGCTTTAACCCACTGAGCCACCTAGGTGCCCCTCTTTTTTTTTTTTTAAAGATTTTATTTATTTATTTGAGATAGCGAGAGAGCGAGCGAGCACAGGAGCAGTGGTGAGGGGCAGAGGGAGAGAGAGAAACAGACCCTCTGCTTAGCAGGGAGCCTGATGAAGGACTCGATCCCAGCACCCTGAGATCATAACCTGAGCCCAAGGCAGACGCTTAACCCACTGAGCCACCCCGGAGTCCCAGTCAGGGGTCCTTTCTGTTTTACCCTTTACACAGAATCAACTCCAGCCACCTTGGAATGAGAGGGAACTTGACCTTGAGAGGTCTACTTTGAAAAGTCGAATGCCTGGGACCCCCTGAGTGGTGGTGACCCACTTGGTCCTGGGACGGGTCCCACAAAACTAACGTACTCAAAAGCCACTGCCACAGTTTATGGGCAAGACTGAGCAGCTGCCTCAATGAGGGAGGTGTTAAGACCTTTTATAATCTGCCCCAAGGCAGCAATGATAGGCTGCGGTGTTTAGTCATGTCTCCATTGCCTCTTTTGTGGCAGGCTCCAGGGTAATCAACAAGCCACCTGGCTTTCTGGACAGAGATGGTGCTTGGCACAGAAATGTTGTACCTTCTGGCATGGGTGCGCTATGCCTTCTGAGAAAGAGGAACGTTGATCTGAGTGTGCCCCTTATGAATAGTAAACGGTAAACTGGTAGAGTCACGGTGGGCGACAATTGGGCAATTCTATTGAAATGAGCACGTTGGCCCCTCCCCCACTGCTGGGAATTCATGCTGCACAGGGTCAGGGTGACTTACAAGTTAATCACCTCTTTTCTGGGTCCTGGAGTACCAGCTAGAACCTGGTTTGATTTATCTTGTGAGGTGCTAAGAGCTTTCTGTACCTTCCAGCTGTGCGGTTCACTGGTCATGGGACATGCAATGAGGTGCAACAGGTTACTTCTCCAAGCCTTAGTTTGTTTGTCCGCAGAATGGGGATAAGAATAGGTGATACCTCGTAGGGTTGTCGGGGTTGTTGTGCGAGGATTAAGTGTGTGCGTGTGCATGTCTGCGTAAAAACAGACAAGTAGGAAGCCCTGTATGCGTCGCTTTTTAGGTATTATTTTTATTCCCTCAAGTTTTTCTTTGGGACAGTCTGGAGAATAGTACCATTCCGATCACGTGAACACAGGGGCGTGGATGGAGCGCCTTCCGTGGCGTGGTCCCCGAGAATCACATCTGTGGAATCCTCCATCTGTGCTGTGGCTGACGCATCCCAGTGCCACCGATCTGGGTGTCTGAGGCGACTCCTGCCCTCCTGGGAGCCCTCACATCTGCCAGCCACACGCCCTTGAATCAGGCCTGTGGGATCACCTTCGTGAAGGCCAAGTGGGTATCGCGGTCAGGAGCGTGGACTCTAGGCCCAAGCAGCCTCGTGTTCAAATCCCAGCCCTGCCGCTTATTACCTGCAGGTGTTCACCTCTCGGTTCAAGGTACTTCTGGTTGTGCGACTTCTTGGAGCCTCAGCCAGTCCAACAGGGCAGGACTCTGGCCTGCCTCCGTCCCTCCTCTCTCTTCAAGGCCAAGCGCAGCATCTGGGCCCACAAGAGGCTCTCAGTCAACGCTGCTTAACGAACCAGTGGCTGGGCAAGAAAAGCTTCTGTGCCCTCTTTAGAATGAAAACCTGAGGTCAGAAATCGAAGTTTTCCCTTAAAGAACGGAAGTCGGCTTCTAACTCATCACGGGCTTGCCTGCTCTGGAAAATCTCAAGGCATGTACGTTTTGCTGTATTTCCTTTCCCCACTCCTGATTCCCCAGAAGAAACAGACACTCAACACAGAACTCAACACTATAGAAAGGTGTCATTCTTTTTGTTATACTTAGGACAACTTTTATCTTGGCATTGATTTCTACACTAGGGCTGTCTGAAGGAACTTTCTGTGAGGTGCAAATGTCCTGTATCTGTGGCATTCAGGAGAGCAGCTGCTAACCCCGTGTGGCTGGTAAACCCTTGAAATAGGACTAGCACCGCCAGTGACCTGAATTCTCATAGGTTGTCAAGCATTAATTAATTTAAATGTAAATAGCTACATGGGGCTAAGGCGACCAGCTTGGACAGAGCAGTTCTAGATGGAGACCTTCGCGGAGATATATTGCAAAGCAGTCCGAGTATAAAAATTCATAATGGTTGAAAACAATCGCAGTGGGCTGGTAACTAATCCAGCGGTAGGTTTTCTAGGACTTTTCATAAAATTTCATAAAAATTTCATAAAATTTCGAATTAGTGAATTCTAATACGAGTTAAGATGTTGAATATAGGATTTGGGGGTTGGAAAAGCAATTTCCTTGTTCTTTTGGGACTCTACTAGATCTTTTTTTTTTTTTAATTAGAGGATTTTTTTTCCTTCCCCTCGAAAGCTGAGAATGATGCAGTGTTTTTCCCCCCCCCTTAAGATGTATTTATTTATTTTAGAAAGAGCACAAGAGAGTGCAAGCAGGAGAAGGAGCAGAGAGAGGGGGAGAATCCCCAGCAGGCTCCCCACTGAGCAGAAAGACCTACGTGGGGCTTGAGCTTACAACCCCAAGATCATGACCTGCGGCAACGGAGCCATGTTCCTGCCCAGGCAGTTCAGTAGATGGAGCTAAAGCCTGGAGATACGGAACTGGGAGTTACCAGCTGAGAGATGAGGAAGGCAGTGTGACCTGATGAGATCACCTTGGCAGAGCCTGGAGACAGGAAAGAGGAGAAGAGAAGCCCGGACAGGCTCTTTGGCTCTGCAGCTTTTACAAGCGGAGCAGGGATGGAAGAGGGCAAGCAAAGGAGACCACGTGGGAGATGCCTGGGCAGAAGGAGTTCAACCAGGAGTCTCCAGGATGACAGAAGCCCAGAGAGATCTGTGTTCCAGAAGGGGGGCAGGCTCCCCGTCCTCGGTGCCGCTGAGAGACAAGTAACACGGAAATCATAGCGGGATTAGATATGCACCAAGCTTTGGACACAAATGATTTCGTTTGAGCCTCTCCATGACCATGGTGGACAGACATTACCTCAATTTTGCAGCCAAGGAAAGTGAGACTCAGCCCAGGATACCCACAGCTAGCAAGAGACAAAGCGAAGATTAAAAAGCAGACTCCTCCCTGGGCTGTGGAGACACGGCTGGTGGATAGCGCTGCGCACTGACCCATGCGCTCATTCAGGATGTATGGAGCTGCAGCCGTGAGCGCCCCTGCAAACATCAGGAATGCAAAACACAACATCCCTAACCTTGTGGCGCTTCTGCCTTAGGAAGGGCAAACCGATGATCAGCAAGTCAGCAAATAAAGACATGACATGCTTCACGGTGGTTAAGTGCCATGGCCAACAGTGGCTAGAGAGAGCCACTTCCATTGCTTAGAAGTGATGGTTAAAGCAGACCTTGATGGGGACATGATCTCTGAGCCGGGGTGATAATGGCAGTGACGATGAACGCTTGGAGAGCACTCGCTCTTGATTGAACATTAACATATTTGTGCCAGGCAGCGTTCTCAATGATTTAATGCATTCCATCCTTCTAGTCACAGAAATACTCTCTTTTCATTTTACAGATGGGGGGGGAGGTCAGGGAAGTTACCCGAGGCCACGCCGCCAGGGACTCAGCCCCTGCAGTCTGGCTCTAGACCCTAAACGGGACCTGAGCCTCCAGGCATGAAGGAATGAGTTTTCCATTCCCAGAAGGGAAAATTGGGGGAAGAAAGGGGGAAAGGAGGAAACTGAGGCTCAGAGAGGTTAAGCCTCTCTGAGTGGTGGGACCGGGACTCAAACCTAGACGATCTGGCTTCGGAGTCTACCACCTGAGTGCTAGGCCAGTGGCTCTCCAACTAGAGAGCGCGTGGGGATCCCCTGGAGGGCTTGTCAGAGCGCCAACTGTGGGGCCTTCAAGAGTTTCTGACCCGGCAGGTCTGGGAAGGCCTGAGAATATGCATTTCTGTCAAGATCCCAGCAAGCGGTGCTGCTGCTCCAAGTCCTCCACTTCGAATTTTACTCTAGTCTGCCTCTGAGTGCACGAAGGAATGAATACCCAGGTCCTAGTAGGTACACTGAGGCTCAGAGAGGCTGTCTTGTGTGCAGAAATCACAGAGCTCTTAGATGGCGGGGCCAGATCTCACACCCGGGCAATGGGCCTCCGGAGGTCGCGTTTTTAACCATTCCCCGGCACTGCCTCCTACCGGTCGGAAGAATAAATGGCTGCACGCAGGGATGCAGGGTCCCCACTGCCCCCGAGGATGGTGCTGGGTGGATGCCCGAGATCTGGGAACCGCCGGGCGAGCCCGGCGTCCCCTGACCTCATTCCCTGCTTCCCCCGCCCCTGCCCGCAGGTGAAGCTGGTGTTCGTGGAGGACCAGGCGGTGGTGGAGACGGTGTTCTTCCTGACGTCACGCACGCGGGCGCTGCTGCGGCGCTTCCCCCGCATGCTCCTGGTGGACCGGCTGCCCGGGCTGCAGGGTGCGCTGGACCTGCTGGCGGTGCTGTGTGTGGACGCGGCGGGCCGCGCGCGCCAGGCCGCCTGCTGCGTGGCGCGTCCGGGCACGCCAAGCCTGCTGCGCTTCGCGCTGGCCTCGCTGCTGCAGAGCGCGCCCGACGTCAAGGGCCGCGTGCGCTGCCTAACAGCTGGGCCCGAGGTGGCGGCGCAGCTGCCCGCCGTGCGCCAGCTGCTGCCCGGCGCGCGCGTGCAGATTTGCCGCGCGCAGGGCCTCGAGACGCTCTTCAGCAAGGCGCAGGAACTGGGCGGTGCCGGCTGCGAGGACCCGGGCCTGTGGCCGCGCCTGTGTCGCCTGGCCGGCGCGTCGTCGCCCGCTGCCTACGCCGAGGCGCTGGCCGAGCTGCGCGCACATGGCCCGGCCGCCTTCGTGGACTACTTCGAGCGCAACTGGGCCCCGCGGCGCGACATGTGGGTGCGCTTCCGTGCCTTCGAGGCGGCCCGGGACCTGGACGCGTGCGCCCTCGTGCGCGGCCACCGCCGGCGCCTGCTGCGCCGCCTGAGCCCCTCGCGCAGCGTGGCACAGTGCCTCCGCGACCTGGTGGCCATGCAGTGGGCCGACGCGGTCGGGGAGGCGCCTGATGGCCTGGACGGTGGGGGGCTGGGGCCGGAGGTCGAGCCGGGGAGGGGAGCCCAAGGGGCGGAGAGGAGAAAGGGCCTGGAGAGCGGGGACTGGGGAGGGGCCCCGAAAGAAGGAAGTATTTGGAGAGGCGGCCAGTTGGAGGAGGAGTGGCCCCGAGGTTTGGAGGCCAGAGAGCGGGGAGGGGCTCAGTTAGAAAGCGAGATGGGGGGAGGGTTGCAGGTCCAAGACTGGAGCTCGCTCCAGTTGGAGACCCAGAAAGTGAGAGGCCTAGAAGGGAGTGTTTGGAGAGGGTCCCAGTGGGAGAACGAGCAGTGGAGAGGACCAGAGATCAGAGACTGGAGGGGGTTCCTGTTAGAGGAGGAGAAAGATAAGGGACCAGAAGGTTATGTCTGGAGAGGATCCCGGTTGGAGGACCATGGGCTGAGGGGATTGGAAGGCTACACCTGGAGGACGGCCCAGCTGGAGGATCGAAGGGTTAGGGTGCTGGAGACCACAGACCGGAGGGGGACCCAGTTGGATTCTGAGAGGGCCAGGAGTCTTGAAGGGAGCACCTGGAGGGGCGCCCAGCTGCACGACGAGAGAGCACATGGGCTAAAATCCAAAGAACGGAAGGGACCTCAGTTGGAACCTGAGAAGGGAAGGGGGTGGGAGGTCAGGAACTGGAGGGGGCGCCATTTGGAGAAGCCCAGGGAGTTGGTCCCTGAGAATGGAGACCAAAGGGGGCCCCAGTGGGGAGAGGAGAGGCAGAGAGGGCCGGATATTGGAGAAGAGAGAGGAGTGAGTTTGGGGGTCAAAAGAAGAAGGGACCTGGAGGATGTGGTTCTGGTCCAGCTGGGGGACACAAGGATGACAGGCCTGGAGAATGGGGAGGGAGCCCCATCTATGGGCCCCAAGAGCAGAGGAGGACAAGCGACGGAGTGTGGGGGCACAGGAAGGAGGTGTCTAGGGCTGGGGAACGGAGTGTGCGGCACCCCGTTGGGGACTGTGTTTGAGGGTGATCCGGAATGGGCAGGGACAAGGAGAGTCTACCTGGCCGCTGGGGAGAGCCTGCAGGAAGGCGGTGAAGAAGGCGGCCCGCGGGAACCGAAGAGGCCTTGCTGCCCCTCGGCAGAGGAAGAGGTGGACTGGGAGCCCCTGGCCAAGTTCCGAGCGGCGTGCGGGCCAGAGCTGGCAGAATTGGTGGCCGAAGAGCTGGCCTTTGCCAGGCAGCACGGTACCCGCGGTTTCCACTGGACTGGAGCTGGGTTTGCCCTTAAGGATGGCACCTCGGACTTCTTCCTGGACAGGGCTCTGACCCGCTGTAGCTGCTCCATCCATGCCGCCCGGCGTCTGCCTTGCCGCCACCTGTTCGCAGCACGCCTCCTCACAGGGGCAGCCTTATTCCACATGGACCTGCTCAGGGATTGCTGGGGGAGAGCTCCAGAACCCTGACCCACCAGGGTCCTGCCTGCCACCCTCCGCTGCAAAGGTAGGAGGGCATTCTTCGATCCCAAAGATAATAGGGCTGAGGCCAAGAAGGCCAACCCAGTCCCTCTGGCCACCTCCTGTGTCATCCAGGGACCTCACCTTGGCCGTTTGTCTCTCTGGGTACAAGGGGAGGCTGACTGGTCTCTGAGGCCCTGGAGCCACAGTGTGGAAGACAGTGGTGGCCAAGATGGCTTCTGAGGGCTTCCCTCAGGAGAGGAAATGTGTGATGAGACAGGGGCAGGCTGGGGCAGAAGGAAGTAAGGGGACAAAGCTTGGGGAGGGGAAGACACCAGGACATGGGGAGAGCCCATGCAGGAGCAAATGGTCACTCCATAGAGTGCAGGGGTGAAGGAGAGAAGCAAGGGGGACTGTAGGAGGACAGGTGGGGGTGGGGGGGGGAGAGAACCTAGCAGGGAGACAAGGAGAGGAGAGAGGACAAGAGGAGAGGCAGAAATGGGGAAAAGCAGAGGGAAGCAAGGGAGAAGGAGGCCAGGGTGGAGGACAGAGGGGAAAAAAAAGAAAAAGGACACACAGAAAGAAAAGGTATGGGAGATGGGGAGAGGAGGAATAAGAGGGGAGTGATTTGAGAGTCTCCAAAGCCTAGAAGCTTGGATCCCCTTGACCTTCTGGTTGGTCATTCCCAGAAGAGACTGAATGAGGGGGTGTCTGGTGGGATGGGCTGGAGGTTCTCCAGTGGGAGAGGGGAACAGTCTGGACTATTGTGTTTCAAGATTGGAATAAAACATGTTATTTTGATTTCTGCACTGAGTTCCTGGCTTCTCAGGGAAAGAGGGGAGAGAACTTGAGGTATTCTGACATTCCTTCTTCCATTCTATCAACAAGACCTCTTGGGGCCAGATGGAATGGAGGGGCCAAAAATGAATCCAATCTCTGGCTCCCGCCAACAGCTCAGCCCTCTTCCTGCCTCATTTGGACCAGTACACCAGAGTGGCAACTTGCTAGCATATGTGAATTTTGACAAATGGCTAGTCTGGGCCACTGTGCCAAGGAATGGTCTAAGAATGGGCGTGTGACCCAATCCCAGCCAATGGGTCTGCTCAGGGTGGGAGGCTTCTAAACATTCTCTCAATCCTAAGAAGCCCCAGAATGAGAATGGTAAGACCTAGACCTGCTTGGGAGCATCTTGATAGAGCGTGAGAATGAAGCCAGTGCTGAAGGTGGCAGAGCTAAGAGGTGCCCTCTATGATCACACAAACACCCCTGAAGGTGGGCATGGTGCCCATTTTCCAGCTGTGGAAATTAAGTCCAAGAGATTCAGTGACTTGCCAGAGGACACACAACAGAGAGTCCTCCCCAACCCAAACCTCCGCCCCTGCATTTACTTTTCCTCCTCCCTCTCATCCCTCCTCCCTCCCTCTCTCTTTCAAGAGAGATTAAGAGCGTGCATTACAGGGGGGTGTAGAGGGAGAGGGAGAGCATCTTAAGCAGGCTCCACGCCTGGTGTGGAGCCCTGCATAGGACTTGATCTCACGACCCTAAGATCATACCCTGAGCTAAAATAAAAGAGTTGGGTGCTTAACCAACTGAGCCATTGGGAGCCATGCATCCCATGAATGTCCCTACACTTCCAGTGGCTCTCAGCGAGTAGGGATGGGAGTAGTAGTCATGCAGGACTACCTCCCATTCCGCTCTCTCAGGACACCTGCTGAGCACCCCCTCCCACCCCCGCCAACCTTCGTGTCTTCATGTGGAAAATGGCGATAGTACTAACTCAGCAAGGCTGGTAGGAGAATTGAAAATAATGTACTTATACTGTGTAGTGCATGCTAAGCCCATCAGTAATTTGCCGTTATTATATATCAGGCCTCCCGTTTTCTTTCTGAGAACCTAAAGATGTGGGCTGTCCGCTCGTGAAGCTGCATGGGGAGGGTCTCCCACTATTTGTCGGCCCGGATCAACATCTCTACGGACACCGGCCCGGCTTCCGGAAATGCGCCACGCAGGCGTACTGGGGCAACCGGAAGCGCTTCTGCCCCGAGTTTCCCCCGTCAGTGGAGGTTCCTGTGAACCGCCCTGTACCTGGCGGGAAAGGGGAAGACCGCAGCACTAAGTGAGGTGGAGGCAGCGATTGGGGGGTGGCGAAGTCTGGGGAGACACCGGTTGAATCTGAAAGGTCCCAGGGGAGCCAGCGGTCCCGTCCGTCCCTTGTTGAACTGGGACTCCCTTTCTGCGTCACCCCTCCCTCGGGTAATGGTCTCACCCGGTCCCCGGTCCCGCACGCCATCCCGGGACACACCAAGTTTCCAGCACAGGGGGGGAGGAGTGGGCCTTGGATAGGGCAGGGACGTTTCGCCGGGCGGGACCATCGGTCCGTAGGTAAATGCTGGGGTGGGGGCAGTGCGGGATAAAGGGGAGAGGCTTTCAGGAGACACTAGTTTGAAGGGTGGGGCGGGGCTTGGAAGACCTCTGTCGAGAAAAGCGGGGCCTCTGGATGGATGAGCGAGTTCCCCGGGTGTGGACGCGGGAGGTGGCGGTCGGCGGGCTCATTGTGTGTCCGGTGAGGGGGGATAGAATTGGTTGGGAGAGACCATTGTTTGTGTGGGGAGATTCGGGCAGTGCTTGGGGGTGACCTCCGCGTGTATGAGCAGGGAGGATCTGGAAGAGTGTGCGTCAGGAACTGGTTTGGACTATGCTTTGAAGCAGGAGCTGAATTCTGACCCAGGCTCTGAATTCTGACCCGCATATCCCATACGGAGGGAAGACAGGTGCTAGTGCTCCTTGGCGGAAAAGTTAAGGACCTACTTAGAGAAGGAGAGGCTGCCATTGGAATGTAAGGCCCACAGGCAAATACATCGAGAATTATGTGGAGAGGGTGCAGGGGGCTAACGCAGTCCCAGGTGCTGGGGAGCCCCGGGGTGGCCGTGATTAGGAGAGGGGGCGAGATCAGCCCTGGGTGAGGAAAGGCTTCTGGGGCCATGGGGGGGATGGACTAGAGTGGGGAAGACTGGAGGCGAGGAGGCCAGAGAGGAGCCTGGGGTGAGATCCAGAGGGAGAGGAGAGCTGAACTGGGGCAGGGGTTGTGGGGACACAGGGGAGGATACAAGGCAGAAAGAAAACGCAAGAGGGGTGGGGTATAAGGATGACACGTGGGGGAAGGGTAGTGAGGAGGAGGAAGAGGAGGAAGACCTCCCTGGGGATCTGGTCTGGTACTGGTGAACCATGAGACTGTCCATGGATGAGGACCCCCGGAAGAGGAATGGGTTTGCAGGAAAACTCCGAAATCAGTGTATATTTCATTAGTGTGAGGGACCAGTGGGTCCTCCAGGAGGCTCTAGAGGGAGGTCCTGGTGCTGTCAGCTGTGATTTGTCCTTGGTACTTGCTGATGGTTGAGCTAGCTGGAGAGAGGGAACTCAAATGAGGAAGAAACCATGCAGTTCCAGAGGCCATTCTGTGAAGGGCTTTGAAGGCCAGATTAAGGAGCTGGGCTTTCTCCTGTGGGAGCTGGGGAGCCGTGGGAGGAATGTGAGCAGGAAAGGGGGAGGGACGGCACTGGAGGTTGGAGAGAGAGACTCCTCTAGAGCCACGTGGGGGATGGGATACACTAGAGGCAGGACGCTGAGGTGGGGGCGGGGGGTGGGAGGAGGCTTGGCAAGCACATGCATGAGGTGGGTTCAGCACTGTGGGGATGGAGAGAACAGTGCATATTTGGTGGTGGAGGCTGTGGGAATGTCTGTCACCACTCCCCCACCTGGAAAGGTCTTGGAAAGAGATGGCCTGTCCCAATGCCTAGGGCAGGGAAGACCTGGGAAAACCTCCAACCCCAGCTCTCAAGGCAGACCATCCAGATTCAGATCCCAGCTCTGCCACTCCTGCCTCGTGACGCTGGCCAAATTACTTAACCATTCTGTACCTCCTATTTGTCCTCTATCAAATGGGGGTAATAATCCCACTTCCCGAAGTAGGCTGCACTGAGCAGGGAAACCCCAGAACAGAGTAGTACCTTAAATACAAGAGAAATACCTTTTTATGTTACTGAACAGTCTTACATAATCTGTCCAGGGCAGATAAGCACCCAAGCTTCTTCTGTCTCATCATTCTGCCATGCTTGAGGCCCTTTTTCACATCTGGAGGAAGGTGGCCGCCATCTTGCCTTCCAGGCTTAAATGCCATCACTGCTGCTCACATCCTGTTGGCCAGAGCTTGGTCATACTACCCCAGCGGGATGAAGGAGGGTCGAGGACACGCCTTCTTTATTCTAGGTAGAGTCCTGTGTCCCGTGAAAATATCAGGGTCACATGTTGTTCCCTGTTCTGGGAGCACAAAGGTAAGTCACTGAGTTCAGTGGCCAAGGAGGTGTTAATCTGATCTCCTTTGCAGGAACCCCCCAAATTCTTATTCTTTCTCCTCATGAGGATATTAAGGGAGGGGAAAGCTGATGGTCTTGAATTTCTCTCCGAAAAGGCAACGTCTTTCTTCCAGTCAGTTCTCCTGAAATTGGGAGGTGGAAAGGGTGTAGCAGAGATTCTGCTGAACTTGGGCTCTCGGGCCGGCCCCACCAGGACCAGGAGACCTGCCCCGACTGCTGGTGATTCTCTGACCTTACACTGGAGGTTGATGTTGGTTTTTTTTTCCTTCTCAACTCTGGGTCTTGATAGTTCTGAGAAAACAGTGCCCAGTTAAATCCTGTTTTGTAGATGAGCTAAGCATGGCTTGTGGAGGTTGGAACCATGTAAGGTATTTTGAAATACGTGTAGTTGAGCCAGAAGTGAATTCAGATCTTCAGAGACCAGGCCCATAATGTCATATTGGTAACATGAATCTTTATCTTCGAGCCTCCAGAGGGTCTTTGAAGGCGTGGAATCCATCCATCCTAGAGACATCCCAAGGGACTGAGGTCCAGAGTGAGGACAGAGGTTGTGGGGACTGCGGATGGGCACAGTAGGCTCTTGCATTCAGGGACAGAGGGAGGGAGGGAGGGAAGAGAGTGATAGATATGATAAGATATTCAATCAGTTTCATCCAGTGAATAAGACAGCTTTGCAATCAAGTTGACTTAGTATTAACCCAAGCTCTACTATGTACAGCTGTAACCTTTGACAAGTTACTTAGCCTCTTTGTATCTCAGTTTGGGAATTTGTTGAAGGGATATAACATTAGCACTAATGACATCAGCTCATTCAACCCTGGCAAGGTTGGTTTTCTTACCCCCATTGTATTGTACTGGGTTCAGAGAAGGGAACTAATATGCCCAAAGCCCACAGAGTTAGTGAGTAGAGTGTCATGCTTCTCACACAGGCATTGGGTAAACATTAAAAACTATGGGGCACTGGTATGGGTGTTCTCCATGTTGTTGAGCTTGCTCTAGCATAATCAGGTAATGATGGATGCATTAATAGAGGTACAGACATCAGAAGGAAGGGAGTACAGTCCTCTTCTGCTTGGACTACCTGTGAT